AATTTAGGCTAGCATTCTGCTTGTGAAGACTGTCTAGCGTGTTAATTACTTAGTGTTGTGTAAAAGACATTATAGATAGCTGTAGCGCGTTGCAAGAAGAGTTTTAAGTCTTATTTAAAAGCCTAAAGAGTAAGCTATATCTAATGTTCTTTAGAAGATTTAATCTAGTGTTGTTGTTAAGGCATTATGTAGATAGGTAGAGTTTAGTAGGGGCTTGGCAAAAGTGGCCGGCCAACCTGTGTAGCCGGCTAACCTGTTAGATACGTTACCCTCTTTTTATTATTACCTAGCTTTTATAAGTTAGCTATAGAATTAGCTTATAAAAGTTGTCTAGCATATTTATTATTTATTATTTTTTAAAAGACTTTATACATAGCTGCAGCATATTGCTTTAAAAGTGTTATGTTTTATTTAAAAGCCTAAAGTGTAAGCTATATCTAATATTCTTTTAGCACATTTAAGTAGTGTTATTAGAAATATATTAGTGTAGAAAGAGTAGTTTAGTAGAGTCTTAGTAAAAGTAACGTGTTTTATCAGTAAGCTACGGACATTAGTAAGCTGCGCACCCCACTAAACCGCGCAAAACCGCGTCCACACCTTTAACTATAGCTTAACAACCACAAGCTTAATCTCTAGCAAAAGAAGGCAGACTTTAGCTTGCTCTTGTCTTAATTAAGTCTAACTCTTATCTATTAATTTATGCAGCTACTGCAGCCTATAACGTACTAAAATCTACCCTCTAAACGCGCCTCTATGGTATTCTCTTAAAACGCAAGACAATCTTAGTTAACTGTAAGCTATTGCCTATTAAAAAGTAGTTACTTGTCTTCTAGATCCTAGATCTTAACTAATGTAGCTTTCTACTCTATATTATTAACATGTGTTAAATAGCAAATGTTCTGCTTTAAGCTTGTTGCTAAAATCCTCTACTAATGCCTATAGGCAAGTGCTAGGTATTGCGCTTTGTTAACAGCTAGGTAGAGCTTTAGACAAAGTAGGACAGAAAGATACACTTCTAGCGCACTCTCTATTAGGATCTAGTTAAGTTTAGAGCCTAGTTTAAGCTAGTAAAGGACACGCGTTAGACGTACAGAATACTAGATAAAGATACTTATAATTTTAATAAAATAAGATTTATAATAAGGGTTACTAGCATGTCTATAGTTGTTACTAGCTCTAAGACTGTTAGTTAAGCAGTTACTATACAGCCTAGTAATTATAACTAGGTTACTATAATTAAGTGTATTAACATGTCTAGCTAGTCGCTTCTACTACTTATTATTTTGCATAAAAAGCTCTACTAAGCTAGCTAGTATTATAATATCCCTAGCAACTAGACGCTTATAGTAAGTAATAACAGCTAGACAACTAACTACCTTAGCCTAGCCTAGCTTAAGCACTTTAACAAGCAGACAAGAACGCGTACAGCAGGAATCTATTGCCTGCTTATAGTAGATGGCCACAGCAGCTATGCAACGCCTAAGTTTAATTAGTACTATATAGAGAACAAGATTATTAGTCTTTATATACTAGCTTACAGCTCCTATCTCTTATAGCCTCTAGATGTTAGCTGTTTTGCGCCTTTTAAGTAAGTGTATAGACACTAGGTGTTAGAGCTTACTTATAATTAGATTTTTTATATTAATAAGTAAGACTTTCTTAGAATCTATAAGCATATTAGGCCTATAGTATTTATAGAGTAGATAATTAAAAGCAGCTTTTAAGCAGCAGGTTTAGTCCTATACTGTCCTAATTATGTCTTATTATTGCTTACTGTTGTCTGTACACTGTCTCTACTAGCGCAAGAAGCTAATAGTAAAACGCGCTAGACTGCAGAGACGCCTTATACAGTTGCTTAGCTACAGTAGCAGGCTTAACTAATCTATAACTGCTTTAGTTATTAATTACAAAGCCCTACTAGCTAAGTAATAGCTTAGCTTGTTAAAACATGTTAGATAGTAATGCACTTAGTAATAATTCTTATAGAGGAGAACACTAAGCTGTGTTAGGCTAACTATTGCTAAGAGCAGAAGAAGCAACAGTAACAGCAGTATATTGCTACAGGAGGGACTCTCACAGGCTAGGAAGGTCAGAGGCTGGCTGCAAAGGCTGATAGGTTGGTTAAGGTAGATGCGCAGGCTTAGGCATTGCAGGCATATTAACAAGCACCACTAACCTGCTTAAGGTGCTATGTATAAGGCTATAAAAGGAATTAATGTAGAAGCAATTAGGAATATTTTATATATATACTTATATAAGTTTAATTTAGTTGCTGTTTAGTTATCTATTAAAGAGGCGCACGCGGTTTAGTAGGGTGCGCAGCTTACTAATGTCCGCAGCTTACTGATAAAACACTTTAAGTAACTTAGATGTGCAAGCAACTTGCCTGTAGAGTATGTTATCTACTTTTTATTATTATCTAGCCTTTGTAGGTTAGCTGTAGAATTAGCTTAAATAGGTTATTTAGCGTATTAGTTATTTATTTATTTCTAAAAAACTTTATACATAGCTGTAGCATGTTGCTTTAAAAGAGATATTTTTTAAAAGACTTTATACATAGCTGCAGCATGTTGCTTTAAGAGTGTTATGTTTTATTTAAAAGCCTAGTGCATAAGCTGCATCTACTATTCTTTTAGCGCGTGTAAGTAGTGTTGTTAGGAATGTATTAGTGTAGAAAAGGTAGTGTAGTATGGTCTTAGCAAAAGTAAGCAACTTAGGTGTGTAAGTGACTCGCCTGTAGAGTACGTTAAGTGCTAAGCCTAAACGCATTTTTTCTTCTACATGTTATATAATTTTATAGGAAAAATTATAGCTATCTATAAATATAATTAAGTAAATAAAATGCTTAAAATACTAAAAATTAGTAAAACGTTTAATTTTAAGCTATAAACTTTAATATAGTAGTTATATAATATCTAAAATGTAATTAAGTAGTAAGAATTATAAGATTCTTAATTGCGTTTAATTATAATTAATTAAACCTAATTGTAATAATTCTACTTAAGTAATTAATTAGGTGACTGATTGATTACTTGCGATTACGTGATCGATAACAACCCTGCCATCGATCCTTCTACTAGAGTGAGCTTGGTACTAAAGCTAGGCAGAACTTGTCTACAGAATTTAGCTGGGGATGGAGTGGTAGCTAGCAGAAATTGCCTAAATACGCTTCTGTACGCGTGTCTTTAGCCGTCTGCGAAAAAGAGTTCACTCTAAGCCTCTTAGTTTCTAACTTGTAAAGGAAGCTCCTACAAAGGATTAGAATAATGGTTAGAACACGCTATATCGTGCGGTAATTCAAGCTTACAGTATCCCGGAGGATGTGAAAAGCAAACTAGAGAAGGCATTTGCCTATAAAGAGCCATGGTTGTGGTTGTTCTACGGCCCGCTCAGCACCTAGTTAGTTGAAGAACTGAAGAAAGCCTTTGATTAGCTAATGGTGAACTCTAGCGTCTGTTCTGTGCGGAGTTGTGCACTTAATAAAGTCTTAGAGATTGAGATCTATAGTTATGCAAGGTCCGGAAATACAGATTTCAAACGTCGCCGGGTCTCTCCACGGATAGGAGTAATGGGCCTAACTTCTGTCGCAATCTTGATACGGAAATCTTCCTTCACTGATCCACAACGGCCCCTACGGCCTTTACTATGGCACCTACTGCCATTGCCATAGCTCTTACTGCCTCTGCCGTCATAAATACAAATAAATACTCAGCAGCAGAGCACTTAGACCAGAACAATGCGCTTCACTTCAATAGCTTCTAACATAGCTGCATGATCATGCCACCTCTATATGCCACAACTTCCTCTGTCGTGATGATGACTTACGCTGCCCCTAGGCGAGAGGAAGTTAACAAGTCTAGACCTGCAAGATAGGCACATTCAAAAGAGTGGCGGGCTCCGAACGATATCTGTTATGCAATAAGAATATCCACGTGGGGAAGCTCCACCACACCCAGCGAGTAGGGCGCTTCTTTCAAACAAGGACATCAACACTCCGTATCTAGCGTCCTTTCTTCGTAACTAATAACGTCGGTCGCCGTGCGCATGCACTCTGTACCTCGCCGCAGTAACTGTGAATAGTTTTTATCCACCAGAAACAGAGAAAGTGTTGCGATGCAGATGCACTGCGTAGCGGCGGCGCAAAGGATTCTGTGCCGCAATTTCGAGTGATTGCCATGTTTGACATTGCCAGCCAATCAGGATAACACACGGACGCAGCAATGTAGGTTATGAGACACGAACAACGACACTAGTGTCTGGTTCAACTGTAAAATATGTGAACGGGTCTTTGTGCTCTAAGGCGCGTACATTCTCTGAGCGGTTATCAGGCATCCGCCCGACGCGGCCGGCAGCGTTAACCTGGGTTACCTGGCAAGTAGCTTTAAATACGTCTCTTCTGTGCCTCTTCAACTTCCCGAAGTCCGACGCGTCTTCAACACTCGGGGTCACCGAAGATATCAGTGCACTAAAGCCCTCAAGGTAAATCTCAACCGCCGTAGATCAACCTGCAATGCATATTAGTAAGTGTCGGAGCCGTACCAGTATTAGATTACGTGTTGCAACTTCAATGTCTTCCAAACGCTGATCTAATCCTGTTGTTTTTCAATACCCAGGATGTTTACAGTAGTCACGCATGACTCACACGATAGTCACATGTTACCAAGACTGACCGCCTTTTTGCATATATGTATACTCCTAGGTACACTCCTTTAGCAATTAGCTCAGTCCCTTCTAGCTCTGGTGCTCCCAATGGCTTCACAGATGAGGACGTAGCAAACACGATCGAGAATTAGGATTGCAAAGGCGCAGTCGAGGTCAGCACGCGACGACTTCACCTGTTTTTTGCACTTTTGACTGTAAGACTTTCTTGTTATTAGTATAGAGGCAGAGCATTAATGTTGCTCCTCTACGTGATATGTGACAACCAACAAGCACGCTGTAGGATTAGAAATAGGATTAAGGGAGAAATGGGCAAGCTATACCTACCCCAGCCATCAATTTCAATGTCTTCGAACCTTCATCTGCAAAACGCCTTCCTGATTTGGAAAAATGAACTCGTGCGCCTTGAGATTCTCTGGCCTACCTTGTCCATCAGGGAGCTTCCAATCGTAGTCCATGATCAGCCGAACTAGAATCGTCTTTATTTCGAGAGCAGCGAAGAAGCGCTCTGGGCATGCATATTTCCTGTGACCGAAGTTTAAGATGTTGGGCTCAGTCGTGGCGAATTGATGCAGGTGGTTATGGCCATCTTCTTGCCGTAGTCTGTAATACCGAAACGGGTCAAATCTCATAGGGTCGGGAGTGACACAGCTGTCATTTTGAATCTCGTCGACCGCCACGGTGATGTGCGCATCTTTGGGGAGAAGGGTTCCATCCTGTAAGACGAAGTCTTTCTGCATAATCCGGTGGTAGGAGAGCAAGGTAGGGGGGTTCCTGCGTTGCGACTCACGCATGAAAGAATCGAGTTTCTCGAGTTTATAGTACGAGTTCTTGTCCTAATTCTTCCATTCACCATCCTCAGAGAGCACCGTTTCGATCTCTTCGCGTAGAGGTCCAAAATATTCCGGATACTCCGCCAGATCGGAGAGTATATGCACGGCATTCATTTGTGAAGTATGAATTGAAGCAAGCGAAATAACAACTTCAAGGTGGGCTAGATCTTTAGGCTTGCGCTCCTCTTTGCGATTTCTATCATCCATTTGAGCAGGGTAGGAGGGCCGAAATCCGGGCTTCCGGATTTTGCCATTGCGGCCTACCAAAGCTCGATCTCTAGGACTAAGAGGCTCTTTGCTTGTCGAATATAGTTTGTGCTACGCCAGGCAGACGGCAGAAACCAGGCCAACAGAGGATGGATGTATCGTGGGAATAGTCGCATAACCACAAGCGTGATGAATGCTGAGGGTCCAGTCAGCCTAAATTTTATACAATGCTCCATTCTCACTCACTATTTTCTGTGAACTCTGTTGCAATCTCAAGCCATTTCTCGTTTCGGCAGAGTGGGGCTCCGAGGAAAATACGTACGGCGGACTGTTAGCTGGTGAAGGGAAAAAACTAATCGCTAATCGCTTAGAAGCATTTTAGGTATGAAACACTATAGTATTTTACTAGGCAAAACATACTATAACGCATTTGTATAATGTTTTTTAAAGATCTAAGGAGTAAAGGGTTGTTTTATGTAACTGTATTGTAACTGCCCTCTATAGCAACTGCCTTTACTACAGCGTTGTACAATAATTGTAGATACTCACTGCCACCACCACTCTTCCACATCTACTACTACTACAGCAGTAGCAGCAATAACAACAGCAACAATAGTAATAACAGCAGCAATAGCAATAGTAGCAGCAGCAGCAATAATAACAACAATAATAATAATGTAGGCATTAAGCCTACAGTATTTTAATTACTCTTATTATATAAAGCTAACACTTAAAATAAGGCTTTTATTTTCTATAATGCTGCTGTTGCTGCTACTAACTAAGCTAGCACTAATGTTAATCCTGTCCTACATGTAGGACAGCAGCAGCTGGCCCCACTAGCTTATAGTCCACAGGCCTGTGCATTGCTAGCCCTTCTAGGGCAGGATGTAGAGTTTATATATAGTAGTATATCCCCTTATTAAATAGCTTTGCACAGGCCTTTGTACATTAACGCTATCCTTATACAATCTTGCGGAAGGGCAGTGGACAACCTGTGCAGCGCATGCTATGGCGCTGTCTCAGGCCCACGACCGTTCCCAGAGTGCTGCCGCGCTAAGGGGCACTTTAGCAGAGCATGTAGCAATTGCAAATAGCATAACTATGCTAGTTACTGCTTTATAAGAGAAAGGGGTAATAATAAGCTAGCTAGTAGACCTCTGTGTTTAGGCTACAACTTAGAGATTAGTAGTGCTAGTAATAGTTTACAGTAGCAGCTTATTCTTATTAAAAATAAACCTACTAGAGCTTTAGCTAATAATGTAATAGTTCTAGCTTAAAGTACATATAATATTTCTTTTAAAAGTAGTAAAGCGCCCTAGCTATAAAGGTTGTCTATAGCACCTAGCTATGTAGAGATGTCTGTAGCACTTAGTTAAGGCCTATACCTTTGCACAGTAACTAGGACAAGTAGCTGTTAAATAGTAAAACTAAACTAAGCTAGTAAATAAAAAAAATAAATTAAATTATTATATAAAATATACTACTTCTTAATACTATAAAGCTAATAAGGCACTTAAGAATTAACATTAAATAGCTAAAACAGTGCTTACTTATAATTATATAAAAGCATTTCTTTATTCTTTTTATTTTTAATAAAGCTTAATTTTTACTTAACTTTTTTTTTTTTTACTAGCTTCTTCTCCTTCTTAACCTTAGTCTACTTAGTAGGGGGTTTATATAAAAAGATCTTATTCTAAGCTACTATAGTTACCTTATATACTAGGTATAAAGTTATGCTTTAGTTGCCTTTTTTAAAGTATCTACTTTTTAGTAAGTTCTTAATTATATAATAATTCTTAGCACTTTTTAAAAAATGTGTAATATAATCTTTACTAATATTTATAATAAAATATAGTTTAGAATAGCCTTTAGTAATTAAGAAATTAAATTATATAAGCTTTTTAAAAAGGCTGTTTTTAACAAACTTAGTATAGCTTATAAAAGGCGCGTTTTAAAGCTATATCTAGGTCTAATTTACTATGTATTAGATATTAGCTAATATATAAGAGAGTATTATATATAGCTGTTTAATACTATTAATTTGCTTACACTTATTAATTACCTTATATTATATAAAGTAGAGGATTACAAGAATAGAGAGCTTAGCTGTTATATAGCCTTAAATAAAAAGTAAAGATGTATGCTAGATTAACTACTAACATGCTAATTCTGCTAGTGTATGTAAAGCAGCTTATATAGAAGAGATAAACATTCTTTTTTTTACACTTTTAAGTGTATTCTTTAGATAGATTATTTCTTCTTTGTCTTATATAATTTATGTAGGTGTAAAAAGTTAAATTTAAACACTATAGTTTAGATAAAACTTATATTTAGTAGACTACTTACTATAAGACTATCTTATAGTAGGATAAAACTTATCTTAGGCACTTATAGTAATAATAGATTATATGTTATATAAAAAAAAAACTAAAGAAAGAACTAAAAAAAAAACTATAAAAAATTTAAATATACTATAGGAAAAATAAAGGCTTAGTTACTACATCTACATAAATCTACTAAGCTAGATTAGAATTAATAGGCATTTTTTTATTAAAGTTAGTTTTAAAATTAATATTTTAAACTATGTCTTAATTACTCTAGTTAAATTAAATACTTTTATATTAAGTATATTATATAAAACCTTACCTACTAATTTTACACTTTAATAAGTAACTTAAGCAAAGATAGTACAGGCTAAAGACTGTTCTAGATATAGTATTATGCTTTTGCTTAAAGCAAAAGATAAACATTTAAATATAGTGTTGTATAATCTTAAAAGTTAGAGTGAGCTGCAGCTACGCTGTTAAATCTAAGCAAATCTAGTACTCTATTACACTACTAAAGCGTATTTTATAGAAGGTAGACATTTATATTCTAACTATTAACTCTTCTCTTAATTATATAAAGCTAATTAGCATTAAATAAAAGAGCCTAGTTCTAGACATAAGCTCTAGAATAGTAATAAAGCATAAAAGGCTTTTTAACTACACTGTTTAGACAGTTCTTCTACCTTTAAATTAAATGTGTGTTTTATAGTTATATAAAGCTATATAGTTTCTTATAAAGTATAAAAATATATATAGTATAAATAGTAAGCTAATTAGCTAAGCTATTTTTTAAAAAGAAGCCTTAAGTTTAAAAGTAGTAAAAGTAATCTTACTTAAAGTAAGATAAAGTAATAAGTATTATATAAAATACTAACTTACTAATAAAAAAAAAAGCCTTTTAAGAGTTACTACTACTAAGCTTTAATCTACTAATTTAATGTACTTATGCTATAAAAGTAGCACTAATTAAATAGAAGCTTAGGCTTTATAAACCTTTAAAGCTAGTAATAAGCATCTACTAGCATAACTATTTTTATCTCTTAATTAGATTATATAAAATGTAGTTACTACTTTATTTCTTTAAGTGTTTTAAAAAACTAGTAAAGGCAGCTAATAGTAGTGTAGGCAGAGATTCTAACATAAATCTATACAATGTATTGTAAGTACGCGTTAATACATGCATAGATCTCTATGCTGTACAGTTTTAGCTTACTATAGCTATTAATAGACTAAATAAAGTTTAGGCTAAAAATAATATACTCTCTATAGTGTTGCTACAGGTTGCGCTTGCAGCGCTCTACTGCCTTATAGTTTATTATATAATAGATGCAAAATAACTAGTCCTATATAATAATATAGCTATGTTAATAAAAGTGTGTATAAAGATACTTTTACTTATACTTATTAATAACACCTTTTTTTAGCTTTTAACTAATAAGTTATTATATAAGCTTATTTACTTACTAGCTTTATTTAACACTTTACACTTTTTTATGTAATCTAAGCTTAAATTAAAGTTATATAAGTGTATATTTTCTAATTTAAAAGCTTTTATTATGTAGTATATAAAGCATATTTAAATCTTTAAGCCTAACTTTAAAAAACAGCACCTAGATTTAATTCTTAACTTTATTTTTAACTTTAGTAAAAAAGTGTTGCCTTATATTCTATATTTAAAACTACTACTTAATTATATAAAAAGTAACATAGACTTAAAACTCTTTAAAAAAGTAAGTAGCTATTTATGTGTATATAACACTTTTATAAAAAAGCCTAAGTAGATAGAGTTAGTACAGTTTAAGGTTAATCTTAGGACGTCCTTCTACATCACCACTATATTAGTAAGCACTTGTACAATGTAACTATTTAAAAGACGCTTACTAGGCATTATAAAATTAACATGTATAAATGTGTATAAAATAATTATAAAGTTGTAAGTAGCTAAAGGCTATAATTATGTGCAGGGTAAAGAATTTTTAAATTAGCGATTAGTTTTTTCCCTTCACCAGCTAACAGTCCGCCGTAAATACAAGCACTACAGCGGACTGTTAGCTGGTGAAGGGAAAAAACTAATCGCCAATCGCTTAGAAGCATTTTAGGTATAAAACACTATAGTATTTTACTAGGCAAAACATACTATAACACATTTATACAATGTTTTTTAAAGATCTAAGAAGTAAAGGGTTATTTTATATAACTATATTGCAACTGCCTTTTATAGCAACTGCCTTTACTACAGCGTTGTACAATAATTGTAGATACTCACCGCCACTACTACTCTTCCACATCCACTACTACTACAGCAGTAGTAGTAATAATAACAGCAATAACAGCAACAACAGCAGCAATAGCAACAGTAGTAGCAGCAGCAACAACAATAATAATAATAATAATGTAGGCATTAAGCCTACAGTATTTTAATTACTTTTATTATATAAAGCTAACACTTAAAATAGGGCTTTTATTCTTTATAATGCTGCTATTACTGCTACTAACTAAGCTAGCGCTAATGTTAATTCTGTCCTACATGTAGGACAGCAGCAGCTAGCCCTACTAGCTTATAGTCTACAGGCCTGTGCATTGCTAGCCCTTCTAGGGCAGGATGTAAAGTTTATATATAGCAGTATATTTTTTTATTAAATAGCTTTATATAGGCCTTTATACATTAACACT